GGGGAAAAAATAGCTTAAAAAGTTGGCATCTTAAAATTTTAAGTTACACTGGTCTATATAATCTAGTTCTAAAATACTATGTGAACTCTAAGTTCCCTGCTGAGGCCTTTATTGTCCTTTAATTGGCAGGAATGACCTTGAGATTCCTTATTGGCCCCTGATTTTTATGGTCTTTAGTAGACTCTAAAATGCTAACTTTATAGTATTACAAAAGCTTGATTATTGTTCACATCAAATATAAATTTCTTTATGACTTTATTTCTTTCTGAATTTTTGCAGATGCATTTGATAAGGAATACAAGATGGCTTATGATCGTCTCACACCTAGTCAAGTCAAGAGTACACATAACTGTGACAGACCACCAAGCACAGGGGTGATGGAATGTCGAAAAACCTTTGGAGAACCTTATCTTTAAGATGTGTATGTGTGTGTATACTTTGAATATGTATTGTATATTTGGTGTATAAAGTAACACTTTTAGACTCTTAAACTTTTTTTCTTCACTTTTTGAACAATGCATTTGTAAATGGTTCAGAAAGTCCAGATAGCTCATGTACAGACTGCTTAAGAAGAAAATTGTGACAAATAGGGAGAGAGCCACTTTGTTTCCCATTTCTTTTTTTTTTTTCTTCAATTCTCTGATAACAAGTAATTAAGTATTTTTGTGACTAGGAAATCCCTTAACAAAAATTAGTTCCTTATAAAATAAGACAACTATTTTATGACTTTTCTTGGAAGAGACAGATTTAAAAATCATGTATGGAACCTAAACAAATGTAAGATCAAAATATCTCCTGTTTTCATAGATTATTCAAATGTTTTGACCATGAAGTTGTATTATACATATTTTAAATTGTTTATAGTAAGTTGATATTTTTTTAATTTTTAAACTTAATATAGCAAACTTAAAATGAACTTAAGCAATGAAATGCTTATTTTCCTTGTCTGCTGCTATTTGAAGTAATTAGTACAGCTGCAGATCTCTATATGTATATCTATATTTTTTTTATTACTTGGGAGGATGACTCAGAAATGTCAGTGCTAGTGTCGGTATTGTCCTAGGATTGCATGTTAGCACCCTAAGTGTGGCTGCAGTGAGTAGTCATGGTAAAGGTGTGTACTGCCCAGAATCATTGAGCCTGTGGAGAGTCTAAATCGGCTTGTGCAAATCAGGTTCAACATACCAGGATTCCAAAATTTTCTCTACTGCTAATAGATACCGAGTACACAGGGAAAATAGCTTACCAAGCCAAATATCAATTTAAATTTTAATATTCTACATAAAAACTTATGCAGGGAAATATCAAATCACTTATCCCAAATTTTACCTTTATTTTAGTAGCTAAAATATTGGGTATAATGCAAATTGTATTATAAAATATTTATCTAGAATATGACCTACTGGAGTGTTCTGTTAATATTATATATATAAATATTCAAAATATTTTTTCAAAAGTAGAAAAAGAACAACTCTAAAAGTACAGCCAGATAGCATTTCCCATATTGAGGAACTTGGCTTTTTCAATAAGCCTTCAGAATCTGAAGTTTACAAAACCTAAAAATCCAGAAATATCTAAAAATCAGAAAATTAATTGAATGTTTAGGTACCATAGGTATTAAATAGACGCTAAAAAAAATATTTTTAGTCCCATTCTTTCTAATATCACTTTTTCTGGGTAATTTCTAATAAAAAGTATCCTTTGGCTGTTAGTATTATTTATAGATTATCAACGTGTGTTTATGTTTGCACACATTATCATTAAGAAGGAATTCTCTAGCCAATTTCAAAGAAGAAAAGATGGTCCCAAATTAGGTGCATAAAGCCAGGTGAGTCTATGACACGTGGGCTGGAGGTAACAGAGTTCTGAGACTTAGAATCAGTTCAGCTGCAGAAAACCCACATTTTGAGTTCACATCATTAGTGATAGCACCATGCTGAAGCATTTCACAGCTTTCTACTCGGGGAAATAATGGAGAGAATTTTAAAAATGTAAAATTTTAGTTCAGTTAGTTTGGGACTAAACTTGCTTACTTGAAAAATCTGGTGCTATGCACATATATCTGCCTCTCCTTTGTAAATACCACTCTAACCCTACCCTTCTTTATTATTCAGATCCAGGCTTCACATTCTGATTTAGTTTTATGTTCTCTAAATCATTTGAAAGTTGTCAAATAAGAGAAACTCTTGATAGATGATGCTTTTTCATTGGTGACAAATATCTCTCCAAACAGGATTCTAGAGGGTTTGTTTTTTGTTTTTGTTTTTGTTTTTGTTTTTGCTTTTTTTTTTTTTTTCGGTGGTTGTGTTTGGTGTATTTCCCCCATGAAAACAGCTTTCAAGATTGTTTCATTTTTCTATAACACAAGCAATATGTAAGAATCATGGCTAGTTGATTTCAAACATCTGACCCCCAAAAATGAGGTAAAGTCCATTCTTTATGGTTCAAACTCATTCGGAAAAGTGAATGTAATTTTTATTTCTTTCCTTCCGCATACCAAGTTTTGTCTCTTCTTTTATGTGGGGTTTTGTATCTCCCTACTTTTAATCCTAAGGGAATATTATCTGCACAAATTCAGTTTTTAAAAATAAAATCTAAAACAAATAGAAACTAATAAACTCTGTTCAAAGGAAAATTAAAATGTAGACTAACTACCCTTTAAAATAACTCTATACTAACTCTTCTTCAGTTCTCTCTGTTGACCATACATTTTGGAGAATCATGGCCAATTGTGTTGGAGAGAAATGCCTTTTTGCTACATTATCTGTTCTTATTTTCTTACTCTTAGGTTTGTTTATGTGTTTAATAGTTGAAAATAAATCATGCTGTGTCCTGATCTAACTTGTTTACTACTTCCTCCCATGTCTTTTGAATGTCACACCATTTGTATTTTATATCACTTTCAATTTCAACTTTTCCCTCCTCTTGTCACAAAGGGAATTCTGCAGCTTGTTCATCTTCTGATTTTTTTCTTGTTTTTTCTTGATTTTTGGGAGGGAGGTTTTTTGCTTTTAAAATCCTAAAACCACCAGCTTATTTTCAGATTTTCTAAAATGTCTTTCAATTTTTGTATATAAAGAAATGACCCCTAAAACTGTTGGCTTTAACATTTTGAATGATAAATACTTATTTTACTTTATGCTGGTATTTACTGTGATACTTTAGTACAACTAGCAAGTGTTAGCTTGCTGTTTGTAGAAGTTATATTGTATTTCTTGTAAATATATGATAATAAATACCCCACTAGAATTGGAAAGCTGCTACTAGGTATTTTATCACAGAGCAGGCTGCCTCTGAGAGCACCACTGTCTGCCCTTGTGCTAAAGTTAGCATGCCCTGTCCCTTCTGGTTTGAGTACAAAACTAAGCTTTATTTCAGAGCTAAATTCTCTAGTAGCTGCATACCATTTTAATTTAGCATCCTCACTACCTGCTATCTTCTTCTTATCCCTCCATACTACTCTCTTATTCTGGCTTCAAAGGAAGTACATTTGCTGGCTTAATTTTGTTTACAGAATTTAGCAATGCACAAATTAATGTAGGAATTTCTATCTCTGATTCAAAAAATCTGTGTGTGTATGCTTATTCTCTTGAAATGGTAACAGATTCTTCTGATAAAGTTACTGCAGTCTTCCCACACTTGCTGTTCATTTGGACGCCTCAGTCCTTTTGTACTGATTTTCTTCTCAGAGTAATGCGATAAAAGCATTGATGCAACTGGTGGAATTTTTATAAATGAAAAAAATTCATTTTTATAAATGAAATTTAATAAATTCTCCAGGTTTTGCCTGTTCATCATATTGAAGGGCCTAAGGCCCAGAAGCATGCCTGTGGTTGTGCAGGCTGCCCCAGTGCAGAATGTTATGCTAAGCTGTAGTGACCCCCACAGGGATAGACAGTTCTGGACACATGCACTCTTTGCACCTTTCATAGCAACCAAAGCACACTGTAAGCTGCACCTATGGGTGGACCCACCCACCAAAAAAGGGGTCAGAACCAAGAGTATTTTTGGCATATCAGGCCAGCCAGTTCCTCAAAAGTATCTACTAGACTGTGCCCTAAATATTATATTCTGATTCCTTCCTGTTGGTACTGAATCCTTAATAAATGATCATTATAACAACATGGTTAAATATGATGACTTATGCTAGTGTCATAAAAGGCCAAACTTATAATTTGATAAAAAAAAGTTTTACATCTATTGATGATAGCACAATATAATATTCAGAATTATAGTAACCATTTAAACATAGGCCAATTTTCAAAAATTTGAAATTCATCCCTTTTTTCTGGTTTTATATAGAATCTTAGCCATTATAATATGACAGGTTTCACATTTTCAAAAATTTAGCCCAAACCTAGGGCCTTCAAGGAAATGCAACCTGGGAGAATGAAGTCATCTATGCAGTCACCGTTTTCCAATTCGGACTCCCACATGGGGCAGGACAGACCCTGAGTGAAAGACCTGGAATTTGCCTCCTGTAACTATACATATCAGTTGCCTATCAAATGAAAGGCCTCTCTTACTATTATCTTTGCATTTTAATAAATTATAGTAGATTTGTAAATGTCTGACAAAATACTTAATTTCCAAGCATAACAAATTGACCTTTCAGGAGATACATAAGTTTTCAATCTTCCTGAAATCTTTCTTCCCTCCTTTCCCAGTGAATTCCTATTCATCATTAAGATCCAGCTTTCATTTTAGATACTTTATCCTTTCTATCATAGTATAAAGTGATCAGGACTTCATTCTAGGCAAAAAAAATGCCAGAAATTGAGCAAACTGATTAGGAAAAGGTTGTTAGAGCGTTAAAGTTTATTTTAATCATCAAATGGCTATCAGCACTTTGTCATTGCATAGTGTTTCACTATCCATCACTAGTCACTCACTTATTCTGGGGAAAAGCATCAGATTCCGGGCTATCAGTGAGGAGATGACATCCAGAGGCTAGCTGAAATTGGCTGCAGATACAGGGTGGGCACCCAGAGTTTTGCTATTGGGATCTCCCTTCCATCAGCTTTGTTCTCTTCTCCTGTTCACAGGTCATGGCTTTGGAGACCTAACCAAGTGACACAAAGATATGAATGAATCCATCCATGTCTGTACAATAAAATACCATTGAGACTCAGAATTCATTGAAATTTAATAAAAGCCATTTGTTAATGGCTGGGGGAGTGAAACCATAAATTAAACTGCCCATTTTAACTGATGGATTATAGACTGAAGTACTCTAAACTCACCCTTCAAGACCAAATGTTAGATTTTTGTTTTCATACTACATCTGTCTATTTATCTTCTAGTCTTCAGTGAATCTCTTCTTGTGTTTGTAAGTAAAGCCATTATTTACCATCATCACCTGCAGTCACCTGAGCTGCTTTTGTTTCAAAACCAGTACCAACACATACTCATTTTTAATTATGTTCTTTAACTTTATATTATTAAAAGTAGCAAGCAGTGATATTTAATATATCAGCACTTAAAATTCCACATAAAGTGTTTAATCACACAATTTTTAAAAACACAAATATCCTTTACACTGGCCACCTTGGAAGTAGTGATACCCTTTACTCACCATGTTGTCTTTGTGTTGAGCAGTTTTGGATTTGCACTTTGGTAATTACTGTAAGATCCCACTTATAAGCTACACAAGAAGTCAATCTTCTTTCTTTATAATCCTATCTAAGTTGACAAAAAATAACAGTGCCCCAATGGATCTCTTAGTTTACAAGCCAGATTTGGCTCTGTTGACTAAAGTCAACAGATTATTTCTAAAATTGTTTTCCTTCTTGTTCACCGGTAACTGCTGTCACTGCTAGGTGACAATATGCTGGATGGCAAAGCCAGGAAAGCTTTGTTAGAATGTCTAATCCCTCAAGGTGACCACTTGATGGAGACAAAACTAACTTGACTTTTCAAATAACCTTTAGAAAGTAGCTTTCCTTCCCTAATACATCTTTCAAGGGCAAAAAATAAATTTTAATTTCTTGGGCTACTAACTTTTAATTTCACTTTTCAGAAGTGCAGCAATAAGAATAAATGCAGTCCTTTTAAGCTACAAAATATATGGGATGGACTATGTTGTATAATGGTAATTCCTTTTTTCCCTATGGCCTTAACGCTTATCAAAAACTTAACCTGTAATGACTGCAAACCTGATAGAACCTCATCCTTTGAATAGAGGAGACAGCAAATTCAGCATGTGCTGGGGCCAGGGGCCAGGAAGGTGAGATGTAGACGATGCCTGCATCTTTTGAATCCATCACCTCTCAGGAATTATGAGGGAATTAATTGTGAGCTTGGGAGCCCGTCTTCATGCTACTGTACCTATTCCAATTCTCATCCCCAATTATTGCCCATTTAGAAAACCCTGTGACTCCAGGAGTGCTTCTACGGCACCCAGGCAATAACTGCATCAGTCAGGGAGATGGACCACACCCCTCCAGAGGTGAGGTTCTTAATCCACAATGAGCTGCAGGGGTTTCTGAGAATAAAGTTCAGTCCCATATCACAGAATGGCTCCTGGCCACTCAGTTCACTCTCCTGGATGATGTTCGTTGTTTCATTAATGTAATGAGGTACAATAACTTCTGGTCTAGTTTTTTGATCCGTGTCCATTGTGAGCATCAGTGACTTGGACTCAGACAGATACAGGACAGGATATGATTCGATCTTCTAACATCACACTGATTATCAGGAATACAAAGTAAAGGAGGAACATTGTGAAGCCCAGGATCTTGTTCATTCTCCATTTACACGATGCAATTGAAGAGACCACAAACAACAGCATGAGAAAAAGCAAAACAATTGCACAAAATAAGCCATTACTGCTGACTGGAACAGGCTGCAATCCATTAATAAGAGAGAAAAGCAACCAAGGAACAGGCAAGCTGCAAGATTGAAGAAAAAGTATGAATATTCTTAAGGTTTTTAATAATCCCATATGTGTATAATCAATATTTTGCAGTTTACAAGGCACTTCTTTTTATTAATATTGGTTTACAGCTTTGTGATTTAGAGGACTGAGTTTTTTTCTGTCATACTTCATTTCTTTAAGACAAACCCAGATCATGATATGGAACTCTTTCATCTCTAAATTTTCACCATAAGGCCTCGCTCAGAATAACATTCTTTTAAATTCTCTAGTGATCAAGACTCTCTTGATCACTTTACCTACCCCACTGCACACACATACACACACGCACATACACACAAAGTTGAATTAAAGAAACCAAAGCCACCACCCAAATCCAGGACATGTTTGGGGAAATGAAAATAGCCTGCTCTGCTCTGACAAAACTGGGAGGAAGAGTAAGGGAACACACACAGAAGGATATGTATTTGCTTATTTATACAAAATGCTTTCAGAGCCTCTGAGCTGGCAGGTGCCCAAATGCAAAGAAGCAGGACTATCAGGAAGTGAGACTGAGTCACCACTCCTTCCAACCCCACCTCCACCTCCTTGGAGGTCAGTGAGCAGCATATTTGACTGTATTTGGTAATGGAATTTAATGGACTTTCTTTTTCAATTCATCTATAAATTCCAGTCAGCTACATTTCAAGCAGCATTCTAGTTCTATTAATCCCATCTGTTAGTGATGGATAAAAGGAGGATACTGTGCTGCCTTGTAGAAACTAATAATATAAATGTTCTTTACTCCATGTATAATTAATGAAGCTGAGCAAAAGGAGCCACATAATGTTTTCCAGCCACACTTGATATGCCTTGGAAAGCAACTTTGCCACTCACCCCACGGTGATATCAAATATGTTGCTGCCCACAGAGCTTGAGACGGCCATGTCGCCCAGGCCTTTCCGAGCAACAATCACACTGGTGATGAGGTCAGGAATTGATGTCCCTGCTGCTAGGATTGTCAATCCCATAATCTCTTCAGAAATCCCTATCGTTTCTCCAACCTGGTAAACAGTAACGGTAATGAGAAACCATAGCAACAGCAGGTGAAAAATCTGAGCCTCTTCAAAGCACCACCCACACACTACTGTGTCAAGCCTGCTGTGGAGCTCAGCACACACAACCTGAGTGAGAGTGGAACGGATGTCTGGAGACATGGGCCGCAGGGATGAAGAAAGTGGCCCCTGCTTAACACTTCATAGAACGATGCTATCTTTTTCTAAATTGGACTAAAAGTTCACCTATGACACCACCTCTTACTGTCATTCCAACCACATCACCTCTGCCTTCCCCAAAGAACTGCTCCTCCAAAGTTCTATTCCTGTCATATTTCCATTTCCAGGACAATGGACACCTGCTGTATCAGGAACTAAGCTAGAGGCTGGAAATGGAAGATTAGAGCAGGACAACACAGACGCTGCTCTCAGCTAGGGAAGGGGAAAAGCTTGTAAACAACAGGTACAGCTCTGTTGTTTTTTGTTCTACAAAAAAAGGTGCAAGTACTCAGAAGAGGACTGATATTTTTTTGCCAGAGAGGAGACAAAACCGAGCTAGTTCTCATAACTATATGATTTCACCAGGTGGAGAGGGTGGGTGGTGCACAATAAGAGAAAGCAGGAACTATGGCTATGAAGGAATGGTTGAGCTGGACCAGGTTGTAAAGGGCCTCCCATGTCACACTACCCTGGGAATACCTTATAAGATTAAAAACACACTTGAAAAGTCTTTACAGGGGGCCTCCCTGGTGGCACAAGGATTTAAGCACCGCACTATGAACCAATCTGAAGCCTCTGCAGCACGAGTTCAATCCCCGGCTGGCCGGCGAAGGAGCTACCCACATGGTACAGCAGACCTATCCTGCCTCGCCCGCTGCTCCCCTCAGCAGTATATTTCACTCAATCTGCCTGTTCTGCTCCCTGCTCTGTCTCTGGTGAATCCTCTCACCACCACCCCCACATCTCTGGCCTGTGCCCCAGATCTTGTATGCATAACTAAATAAATCTTTAAAAAGAAAAAAAAATTAAAAAGCCTTTACAAACAACGTAGAAACTACAAGTTCACGCACTCCTCAGCAATCCACGGGCACTGGAAATTTGCCCAGAAGGAAAAAAGTGGTCTCGGGACCTGCTTGTGCAGGGCTTAGCTGCTGATGTTCACTCACCTGGTGAGCCCACCACACCATGAGGTACGAGAACATGGCAATCCACATGATGGATCCCAGGAAAGTAAGAACAAAAAACTTTCTCGACTCCTGTTTGCAAGTTTGAAAGGAAAGAGAAATTAAGTTGCAGAGGCTAAAGGTTTTTGGCCCTCTTGAGGGAGCCAGCATCAGTGACAGCATCTGCTGGAGCAGTGATGGAGAGAATCTGGAGACATTGGAGCAAAGAGCTCTGTCTCCAGTGAGGCCTGGCGATTGCTGGGAGAGAATGGGGTTGGTGGCCTATAGTGGGGCCCCGTCGGTGAGGGGGCCACCCAACTGGAGAGCTATTTGCTGCTCTAGAACCAGACCCATCTAGGTGTTTGATTTAGTTTCTGCAGCCTGCCCCCATCACAACCACCCACCTCACTCCTTTCCAGTCGTGGAGACAGAAAGAACATAGACTGCCTTTGGGTGGGATACATTAGTCATACCTTTCCCTATAAATAGGACTGCGGGGTAGAAATAGCACCTAGTGCCCTATGTTTTCAGAATCTCCCTATGATGTAGGAGAGTGCAGTGGCACCATCCACTTGTTATAATCAAGAAACTGAGATGGGAGGGAGGAGGAGGGAGAGGGATCAGAGGGGGGACGGAGGAGCACAGGGGACTGAAGTGATGGTGCATGGGTGCATTGGGGAAGGAAACTATGGGGACTACACCTGAGGGGGTGGGGGAAGCAAATACTGTTTAAAAATGAACAATGGGGCCTCCCCGGTGGCGCAGCGGTTGAGCACTGGGTTGCGAAGCTGCCCACAGCCTCTGCAGTGCCAGTTCGATCCCCCGCTGCTCCCCGGCCACCAGAGGAGGGTCCCACATGGCGCGCAGACCTCTCCTGCCACCTGCTGCTCCCCTCAGCAGTGTACTTCGGTCCTTCTGCCTGCTCTGCTCCCCGCTCTGGCTATGGTGAGTTCTCTCACCCTCCCGCGCTTCTGACTATACCCAGTGATTATATAAATAAAAATCTTTAAAAAAATTAATAAATATATTTTAAAAAATGAACAATGATGTAAAAAAATAAATTAATATAAAATATATATGTAAAAAAAAAAAGAAAAAGAAACTGAGATGGGAGACAAGGAGGAACTCACACTCCCTATAGTGATAGAAATAAGCATATTTACAGCCTCTCCAGCCCACTTTTTTGCCCGTAGGTGAATGGTCCCCTCCTGAATTGCAATGTCATCCCAGAGTCCCTCTGTGGTTGAGCACTGCCCTCTCCCTCCTCTTGAGTGGGAGTGCCCAGAGACCCTACAGACTCCCTGGAGGTGGACGGCCAAGAAACTCACCAGCCTCCGGACATCGGGTACTGTCAGCCACAGTGGGAGCACAATGGGCAGGAGGAAGAGGTACATGGCCTGCTTGTGCCTGGTCTCAGGCCACTCCAGGGACAAAGGCTCCTCTTCTTCTTCTTCATCCTCCACTTCCTCCTCAACTTCACTATCACCTCCCTCTTCATCATCTGTACCTTTCTCATCACTTTGGGCTTCACCTTGATTTTCAGTACTGAATTCCTGCTTTTTAGTTTCACCTTCATCCCCTTTCATATCATCTTCATTTTCATTGTCTCCTTTTCCTTCTGCATCGATTTCACCTTCGCCTTCCAGTTGAGTTTTACCTCCACTTTGTCCTCCATTTTCCCCTTCAAAAGCATCACTTGTCATTGCCGTTCCAGCCACATGTCCTTCCTGCAACCCAAAGCCAAAAGAGTAGTAGGTTAATAACTGCTCTGCTGGTTTTCCTTCCCAGTTTCTCCCATTTATTTGTTGTTATTTTTTTCAGAATGTATCTAAAAACTCCAGTATGAGGAGGAAACTAGTGCAATTATTCATAAGATTCCTTCCACGACACTCCTCCCCAGTGGTAGTCTTTATTTAATCATTTCCAAGTACAGAGAACTCACCACCTAAAGCAGCTTCTGTCATTTGACAATTATGATAAGTCTGAAGTCTCTATTTATACCAACATTCTACCCCCTGCGTATAGGTTTGCTCGTTGGAGCCACAGAAAACAAGGCTAATCACTCTTCCATTAGGTAACTCTCTATCCTGGGTTAAAGATTCCTAGGTTCTTTTTCATTCCCACACATCATTGCGTAGAGCCTTCTCCCCACCTTGGTAATCTCATTCTGGTAAGATTATATCCTGTGAGGAGCCTATGGGATTATCACTTCCCTTGTCTTCAATCTTATACTTCCACTAATGTTGCCTAATACGGCATGATATCTTTTGATAATACTAAAACTCCCCAACTGTTATATTACCATATAAGTATAAAATAATAATGATGATAATACCCATTTATTGAGGGTTTTATGTGATAAGCACCATACTAAGTTATTTAATAATGGTAACAGTAACAGCAATAATAACTAGCATTTACTATGTTTCATAAGTCATTTAATTAACAATACAAGTAGAATTAGGTCCACCTGACACAGAGACTAAGATAGTGTACTCTTAAATAACTTGCACATGATCCACATAGTTTATAAGTGAAAAAGTTGAGATTTGAATATGGATAGCCCATTCTTAGCCTCTTAGCTATCACCAACCTACCCTGCTTTGCAAATGCCAGGACCAAATCTATCTTTGGTTCCCAAACTTGGTAGCCTAGTTACCGACCTGATTAGAAATACAGACTTCCTGGACTAACTGAATTAGAATCTTTGGGAATGGAAGCAAGGAATCTGTTTTGAAATGCTCACAAATGTTTCTAATAGATCCATCTGCACATGGAACCATGGACTGATGACTCCATGCACTCTGAAAGCCACTGATTCTGTAGGGTCCTTGCATTAGGCATGCAATTTACCTGTAACAACCTGGCACTTCCAACACCCAAGGGAAGTTCAGTGAGTCTCAACTCTGCTGCTGACTAGATCACCTGGAGGCTTTAAAAACATTCATGCCCAGGGCCTCCCCGGTGGCGCAGCGGTTGAGCGCTGGGTTGCGAAGCTGCCCGCAGCCTCTGCAGCGCCAATTCGATCCCCGGCTGCTCCCCGGCCACCGGAGGAGGGTCCCACATGGCGCGCAGGCCTCTCCTGCCACCCGCTGCTCCCCTCAGCAGTGTATTTCGTCAGTCTGCCTGCTCTGCTCCCCGCTCTGGCTCTGGTGAATTCTCTCACCCTCCGCGCTTCTGACTGTACCCAGTGCTTGTATAAATCAATCAATCAATCTTGAATAAATAAATAAATAAATCTTTAAAAAAAAAAAAAATTCATGCCCAAGGACCCATCCCAGATATTCTGACTTTATTGGTTAAGAGTGGGGTTGGGCACTTTTTAAAACTTCCCCTAATTATTCTAATTATTCTAATATGCAACCAGAGTCTAGAACTCCTATTGACATCAACCATTAATATCCATGAGGCCTGTGCTTCAAATTGAGAAAGAAAAATAAGAAGATATCAGACTAAAATAAGTCCTGTTCCTATCAGGAGAGAAGACTTCCAGGAGATGACAGATGAGTTACTTAAATTCATAGATATGGGAGTATCTTCCCAGCCTGCACCCTCTTCTCTGAGAACTGTCACCCTGAACCCCTGAGCGGGTGACTACCTTCTGTGATGGGAGTCAAAGCACCCCACCTCTCCCTGCCACTGCTGCTGGGTGCAGGCTGGATCCCTGAACCATGACTTGGTTTGAACGGATTCTCTCCCCTTAGAGACTGGGAACCAGTTGCTGGCTGAACCCATGTGGACCAGAAGGTTGGATGGTGGGTTAGGGCTAGGTACGCTCATAAGGAAGCAAATGGACGAGCCTAGACACTGAGAAGGAGATGTGAGGGAGAGCAGGCTGAGGTGCAGCTCCTTATGAGACCATCCTTCTTCACTCCCTGCCCTGGGATTCCAGGAGCTACCTTTGTATCCTCTTAATCCATTTTGCTTAAGTTGACTGTACTGGGCCTACCCAGGACACTCATGATACCACAAAGCTGTCTTAGACGCTGAGCCTCAAGTTGCTGGCTTAAAAAAGATATAATTGCTTCTGCATGTCAAATAGAAAAACTAACAGGATGCTTATTTACTGTCAGTTATTCAACCCTTATTGAGCACAATGGGGAACAGTGGCAACTCAGACTTGAATTCTGCCTTTAGGAAACTCGTCACCTAGTGGGGAAATGAAGACTCATCAAGAGAATACAAGGTAAGCAATATGATACAAGGAAGAACGCTGAAAGAGGGACAAAGTGTCATGGGCATTGAGATTGGGGGGTGGGGAGGAGCAAATAAGGCATTTTTATAGCAGCCTGGAAGGGTGAGTGAGAGTAGGCTATATGAAGGGGAGAGGGAAAAAGCACTCAAGGGGGAGGAGGAAGAAACCATTTAGGCAAAGGCCTGGGAGACAAGAAGTCCAGTACAGCTGGAGTTTGGTGGAAGGAGAGGTTGTATCGCTGTAAAGACAGCAGAGTCAACCAAGCTGCCAGGAGAGGATGAGTGGGTACAGGCTGGATCCCTGAACCATGACTTGGTTTGAACAAATTCTCTCCCCTTAGAAACTGGGTCTGCAAATGAAGCTGAGGTGCCTCCGAAGGTTCTTTCCCCAGCAATACTCTTCCCTTGTTCCCATTCCCAGCTGCCTGGTCTCATAAGCTGCCTGGCCTCGCTGGCCCCTAGCTATGGACAGGCCCAGCAACAGTTGTCCCTTAAGTTCTCATAGCATGTGACAGTCAGCAACACATTGCCATATATGTCATCTCCCTCATACTAAGGTATTATAGTGAATTAACTTGACCCTCAGAGAAAAGAAATGCTCCTCCCAGGGGAATGAACCTCAAACCACATTTCAGACCTTTAGGAAGAAAGTGCTTTTGGGTGCCTCCCTGGTGGCACAAGGGGATGAGACGCAACATATGAAGCTGTCAGCAGCCACTGCAGCACGAGTTCGATCCCCAGCTGGGGAGGAGACCCACATGGCACAGCAGATCCCTCCTGCCTCTCCCGCTGCTCCCCTCAGCAGTGTATTCCTCCTGTTCTGTTCCCCACTCTGTCTCTGGTGAATCCTCTCACCCTTCACACCTCTGGCCTGTGCCCCAGTTCTTGTATGCATAAATAAATAAAATCTTTAAAAAAAAAAAACTTTAAAAAGTCACATTGCTCCTAATATTTAAAAAATAAAAAGAAAGTGCTTTTGGTTAGCATGTCCTACCCTGGGCCTCTCAAATTCCTCCACCGGGGAAGAGGCTTGTGCCTACCTGACTGCTAGGATCCTCATCCTGATCTCCCTTGACATCTGGAGCAGGGGCTGGTGTGACTGTGACTGTGACTGCAAGGAGCTTGGCTGGCTCCTCCTCTTTAAAGGATAGACATGGGATAGGTCAGAAGAGTGTGCCAGGTTCTGAGGGCAGTTGGTCAAAACCAATGTGACTCCAGGGCTATTGGACTTACCAATTTAGGGGTCTTGGAAGGTTTGTTGGGGGAAAGTAAAATGATGCGATATGAATTGCTAGTGCAGATGCGAGGGCAGCTGAGCAGTGGCCAACCTCGCCCTCCTGTACTCACATTTCCATCCTGGCTGATATGAGCTATGGATACTGTGAACAGCTGGGGCAACTGGGGCAGAGGGCAAATCTCCAACTCCCAGGGTTTCACCCTTCCCCCCACAAACTGCAGGGGGAGGATCTTGCTGATTTAGGCATCCTCAGAATAGCTTTGGTGGGTAAAGGGCCTTGGAAAGGCTGGAGCTTTGGGTTTAGGTACTAGCTATCTTACTTCTTGGCTGTGTGGCAAACGCTGTTCTACCCCCTCCAGGGCTACAGGGTGCATCGGACTGGCGTGCTGTCCTGGTGTGCTGTGCTGAGCCCACAGAGCAGAAGCTACCCCACTCCTGCCACAGCTGTCACATAGATGCTAGACTTTTATGTCATCAGACTCTTGGTAGCCTTCCCTCACTGGGATTGCCAAACTGAGACCAATTCCTAGCAGCACTATACTTGTGTAGAAGTGACAGGAAGAAGTAGAGTCCAATAGAGTCTCATCTGGGACAAAATTTAGCTAAAAAGAAGTGGAAGCTCAACAACCCCTGGGCTGGTCTTGGTTACCCCATCTGAAGGGAGTAGGAGGGAGTGGTGCAGGGCTGCCCTCAGGCCAGCACTTTGTCAGAGATGGAGCACAGGAAGGAGGCCAAAGTGCAGCACAGCAAATGTGCAGGGCAACAGCAGATCACTACTGACTGAGAGAAACCAAGCGCTGAGCTTTGGCTGCTGGCCAACAGGAGAGAGGAAGGTGACAGAAGAAACGCCACTGTTTTCACCATCCTCTCACTTCCGGTCTGCTATCCGCTTTGGCCTTGGGGCTTGGCTTTGAATGATACAGGAAACACCTGCCAGGACTCCTGCCACAGCTTCAGCGACACCAGTGAGTGAGCAGTCAAGCAGCTGCCGTGGATGGGAAGAGGCTGGCCTGTGAGTTGTGAGGTGTAGATTCTGGTCTCACCTTGTTCAGGGTACCCAACTCCCACACTTTCATCTTAAATTCCCTGCCCTGCCCCTACTGACTGTGACTTTGGCAAGTCACTTTCCTTCTCTGGGCCTATCCCCTCTGGCAAAATGACATGGTGCAACTCAGGGACAACAAATAGGATTGATTTCCTTTATGAGCTCAAGTGAGGGCTGCCTGAGTGCAGAATTGAGAATGCTGATCCAAGCCTGGTAGGAAAGTAGCATGACTGCTGAGCTGTCTGCAAGAG